ATAAAAGAAATGATCCATACCTCGAGCTCTGTTTGCTCTAAACATCAAGAAAAGAATTCCAAACAATCAAATTGGCTGTAAAATCTTGGCATACCCTTTTTAGAATAGAGAAGCCGTTTATTTTCAACCTAGTTTAATAAACGTGTACATATAAAAAAATTCATAATATATTTGGAGCAAAGGTGAGCGAAACTACGCCCATGTTCTGACATAGTGAAATCAAGCTGCTTATACTTCACAATCACACTAGCTACTGACTCCTCAGTGAAAACCCATCCACGGTTTTTGTCAGTAATTTTGTCTCTATATTATAATGTGTGTGTGATGTATATATCATCTCACACGTATATAGATACAGTTTAAACCCGATTGATGTTTGTTGTTTAAGTACATGTAATCCGATTACTTATGCATTCGATATGATAACATATTTAAATAAAAAAGTGACAAGTTCGTAGATTTGTTTTATATATTACTGCTTGAACAAGAAATATAGATGAAAGGAAATAACTGTAAATGAGGTTGTAAGGGGTTAAATTTAATGCATGGATATAGGTCTAAAATTGACAAAATATGTAATAGAAGTGGATTTCAGTGTGACTTTTAAATCTTTTAAATATCTCCTTCGCTTAGCTGGCGAAAATCACCTATTCGGCTCAATTAATACTAGCCCTATTATTAAAAAAAATCGTAGTTATCATACATCTTATAATTTTAGAATAACGTCAAGTACATGTATATATTCTGAACAGATTTTACGAAAGACACACAAGTGAATAGCAGCTTTGAATACAACTTTGAAGTTAGTAAAACAATGAATGAAACAGCATCATACAGCCTTTTTGTCCTTCTAGGACTCGTCAGTAATGATAAGACCCAAAGAGGGTAGCTCTCCTTGTCCCGCAAGCGTTTGATCGGAACTTTTCAGAAACCGGTAGTAGTCACTTAACCAATTCTTGATAGTTTAACGAAGATATCAAGCGGCTTGGTGAGCGTGATTAGTTTCTTCTCTATCATATAAACGTATCACACATGCTATATCAGACGACAACATGGTAACGACTTCAATCATTGATACCAGAATATGTATTTGTATTCATTTAAAGAATATTTTGTGCTCAAATTAAGTATAGTTTGCAAAAAATGTCAAATTATAATTCAACTACAAGTCATAATCATTTTGACTATCGTCTGTGAGGTAACAACAAAGCGACGCAGAGGGAACTACGATATAAATTCAATCAGCACATCCATTCAATTACTTTTTTTTATCAACGTAGTATAACTCATTTTTTAATTTACTTTCTTCACAAATGACATTATAACTTCTATTCTTCTGTTTCAGTACTTTAAAAAACACATTCTAAATACTAGGAAAGGTTATGCTCTTTTTAGGCTTTGCATTTTTTCTTCATACACTGATCATAAAAAAAAAAACAATGTCTCTCACCTGCCCGGTTGAAGAACCACCTGATTTCAGTGTGAAGTAAGACCTGAAAAGTACACCTTTTAATCCTCTCTTTTAAAAGGCGATTTTCAAGGTTGAAGTTGTAACTATCTTGGGTGGAATGTGAGAGATAAAAAACCAAAAGCAATCTTCTTCTGTTCCTCCATATATTTTCTTCCTTCCTGTCCAGGAGAGCGCTCCACATAATCAATAAATTGGTAGCAGAAATGCTACCCCCTCCCTTCCATAGACAATTTTCATTTAATACACCCCCACAACACACACATTTAAATTAAAATCGGACAAGCATTTTTTTCTCGTGGATTTTAAAAAAAAAGTTACTTTGTTTATCATTTAAAGACGGATTGTTGATTATTCATATTTATAGTTGTTTTGTAATTCTTTCTATAGCACCAGCTGCAAAGTAATGGTGAACTACCGTTAGTCGGGAATATCATTAAAATACAAATTCCTTATATGGGGATCACTAAATTTACATCAATGTAATATATTGATAAACAAAAATTAATTGTTAGGTAAATGAATATTTAATCAACGAAACGCCTAAAACATTATTTTACTCTCAAGAAATATGAAACAAAAATGTAATATAAATAACTCAGCACCGATATATGACTGCAAAAAGTCTTTAATTTGTATAGAATTTGCATTGTTTCATAGTAATATGTCATATATATATATATATATAGTTCAAAAGATTGTGTATCAGAACCTCTTCAGGATGTACAAATTAGTATCGCATACCGAAGTAACGTTTGAAAAAGTCTCCAAATGCTTGTATCCATTACAAAAAGACAATGACGTATCATTTTAATCGTTGATGTCAATATACTCGTTTAAGATTTTTAGTATTTGTCTTTTAACTGTTGGTTTGTTTAATATCATTTTCTTTTGGATCGCTGTGTGTTTTACCGGTTGATAGCCCTAATGACCTTTTATGTGTTGACGAGCCATTAAGAATGGTATAATAATAATAAAAGTGTCCGTTACAATTGTACGTATTCATAGAGACACTTGGATATGCCATTATACAGCTAGTAAACGTGACGATACAAACATGTTTGATGATAAATAGTACAAGTTCAAGTACAGTAAAAAAATCTGTGATCACAATAACTCTTCTCTTCTGACTAAAACTTCCTAACCTACTGAGCACTGAATTAAACATACAAAGACTTTAAGGGTAAAAAAATAGGTAACACTTAAAACTTCATGTTATTTGAGCTTCATTTGTCACAAGCTTCCCAGAAAATAAAACTCAATAAAGAACACTTCTTGTGCCAGGTATGATACGACAAATCATCTTATGAAAATGCCAGAATTTTTGCTTTGATTTCGATTATAAATCAAAACAAGTAATTTATTACATTTCAAATTAATTATACTATATGGCATAAACATGGTGCTATACATCACCATTTCATGTCTCAAAACGTATTCCGTACATCTAACGTACATCTAACGTATAGAAATGTACACCAGTTTAGAGGAGGTGGACGTATAGAGATGTACATCAGTTTAGAGGAGGTGAACGTATAGAGCTGTACATCACTTTAGAGGAGGTGAACGTATAGAGATAAACATCAGTTAAGAGGAGGTGGACGTATAGAGATGTACATCAGTTTAGAGGAGGTGGACGTATAGAGATGTACATCAGTTTGGAGGAGGTGGACGTATAGAGATGTACATCAGTTTGGAGGAGGTGGACGTATAGAGATGTACATCAGTTTGGAGGAGGTGGACGTATAGAGATGTACATCAGTTTAGAGGAGGTGGACGTATAGAGATGTACATCAGTTTGGAGGAGGTGGACGTATAGAAATGTACATCAGTTTAGAGGAGGTGGACGTATAGAGATGTACATCAGTTTAGAGGAGGTGGACGTATAGAGATGTACATCAGTTTAGAGGAGGTGGACGTATAGAGATGTACATCAGTTTGGAGGAGGTGGACGTATAGAGATGTACATCAGTTTGGAGGAGGTGGACGTATAGAGATGTACATCAGTTTGGAGGAGGTGGACGTATAGAGATGTACATCAGTTTAGAGGAGGTAGACGTATAGAGATGTACATCAGTTTGGAGGAGGTGGACGTATAGAGATGTACATCAGTTTGGAGGAGGTGGACGTATAGAGATGTACATCAGTTTGGAGGAGGTGGACGTATAGAGATGTACATCAGTTTAGAGGAGGTAGACGTATAGAGATGTACATCAGTTTGGAGGAGGTAGACGTATAGAGATGTACATCAGTTTGGAGGAGGTGGGCGTATAGAGATGAACATCAGTTTAGAGGAGGTGGACGTATAGAGATGTACATCAGTTTAGAGGAGGTGGACGTATAGAGATGTACATCAGTTTGGAGGAGGTGGACGTATAGAGATAAACATCAGTTTAGAGGAGGTGGACGTATAGAGATGTACATCAGTTTGGAGGAGGTGGACGTATAGAGATGTACATCAGTTTGGAGGAGGTGGACGTATAGAGATGTACATCAGTTTGGAGGAGGTGGACGTATAGAGATGTACATCAGTTTGGAGGAGGTGGACGTATAGAGAAGTACATCACTTTAGATTAGGAACCAACGAGTTTTATATTTTTCAACATAAATTAAAAAATAATCAGTGTTCTAATTTAGAATCCACACAGAAATTAAGTAATTATAGACCGTAACCGTCGTCAGTGAGATTCAAACTTCATCTTATTATCGACAGCTGCTGATCGATAGGATAACACTAACATCAGATTTTTTCACTTCATTTTGGCCTTTGTTGGAGATAAACATCTTTGATGGGTAACTAAAAAATGTCTGACAAGGAGTGATCGAAATGACAACACCAGATACACACCTAACTGCACGTCAAATGATATAATTAAGACTGAAGTGAACAGCAGTTGCAGCTTCTTTCATTTTATGAGGAAATGTCTGTGATTTGAGTTCAATTCAGGCACAAGTCGCCCCACATTCTGAAAATAAATCAAATCTTAATTCCGGAGAAAATAACGTGGTCCTTACTTGCCTAGGAACTTCAGTTCTTGAACATTGTGCAGCTGAATCACATTTTGAAATATCCAATGTAGACTTTAATGGACTTGATTACCGGAGCATTTCCTGAGAGGAACTCTTGTACATCATAAACGAAGGGATCTCCATTGATTGGGATATGGAAGTTATGTAAGAGTTTTCTTAAAAAGAAAAAACATGAACAAGAAAGTTCCTGAAAACAGAAATATGATTTTTTTTTTAAAGAAAATTTTTTCTTTTACTTTCTTTTTTCTTAATAGAACAAATGGAATTATTTATGTTTTTTGCTTTGGTTTTATTTCCTGTTCCTACTCTAATGGCGCCGAACTCCCGTCAGCAATCGGGAGTTTTTTGGTATGAATAATAGTTAATTGATTATTTTGTCTCAATCGAGACCTACGTTTTTGCCTGAAAATTCATTTCCTTCAGGGAATGTCTTCCTTAATTGAAAATGGTCCTGGCACAAGCCGATTATGACATATATGTTATATTATGCTTGTTAATTCAGGAGATTTGGCTTTACATAAAAACTCAAAACAAAGTTCAACCCATAAGCGATATGAGGCTGGTAGAGCGGTAGATGGAGTTCTCGGCATTGATGTAACAGACGGACACTGTTCCCATACAGGTCTATATCACCGACAAGCCTGGTGGGAGGTTGACCTGGGACATATTTACCGAATACAGACGATCAATATCACATATAGACGTAGTCGTAAGTACCAAAAAAGGAAACGCATAATCCATTTATTGATTAATATGCATGGTTGTCTTGTTTAGTTAATCTTAATATCAGGTGTTACTCATTTGGGTTGTCATTTGTGCAGTTCTTTTCGTGTAGTTGTGCTGAAACATCATTAGGTTTTAGTGCATTTTCCCACTGTATTGCATTCTACTCCTTCTGTAGAAGCCTCTACATCTAAACATTAAGTAGTTGATGATAAGGACAAGTCTAAACTGTCGAATGATTATTTTTATAGTATCACATATATGCATTGTAACTGATGCAAACTTTGGTTTTTAAACATCACAGATTTCATTACAGCAAATTAAAGGAGTTTCAAATAACTAATCTGTTTTTGGCTCAATGATGATGACATTTTAAATTGTTTAGATGGATTTTAAAGCCTGTGGGGGATGAAGGCGGCCACCACATGCTAAAATTACACTGCAATCTTGTTTCTTTTTCACTTATCGTTATCTGCTTATAATAAATATAGACCAATTTCTCTGTTGTCAACGGCTGGTAAAGTGCACATAAGTACTTTCGTGAAAATTATTATCAGTGAGATATATTCATCTGGTTTTACTCCAGCGGTAAATATTAGCAATACCAGTACTGATTGATAAGCTTGGTAGTGGCAGAAAACAAAACATTCGTTATACCAGACCAACACAGTAAAGCAGCCCTATAAGGTCTGATCTGTCGTGTTAATTAGTCAATGACTGGAACTGTCAGAATGCCTATCACTTCTTCTCAAAGTCTCAATGAAATACAAATAAACACTCGTGCCGTATTGTTTGATAATTTCAATAATTTGACTTTACAAAGACTTTGAGATAATTCTGAAATTGTAGTGTATTATACAAATGTAAACATATATCCTTCCTCCAAAATTTTGTAAATAAAGCGTGTCACAGTATAGAGGGCAGTAACCTCGCTATGCTTATTGTGGCGAGCTAATGTTTTCTAACTTAGCGAAAAAGGGATTCTTATTTAATGTGCTGAATCATTTTATCAAAAATAGTATTTATCACTTTATCGCCCGCCTCTCTTTCAATAATACCATCTTGTAGTTACAAAATTAATAATTTTATATCATCCCCAGGAACAGATCATCTAAAAGACTATAGTCTTTACGTAGCAAACAATAGGAGCATGACAATGCCTGATGGGTTTATCAATGAACAGTTAGGCTATTTGTGTTACCATGACGCTGATTCCACAATACCAACGTATAATCAGTCACGTCCGTGTCACGTTGATGGGAGATACGTTGTGTTCTACAACAACAGAAAGAACGAAGACGCATTTGTTGAGCTTTGTGGGATCCAAGTCTACGGTGAGTATAGCTAGATTGTTACTATCATAATAGTTTGTCTACCCTCAAAATACAGAAGTGAAGTTTACTTTTTAGCGGCAGATATGTGAATAGAATGGTGTTTTTCAGAAGAACCATACAGTTTAAAAAGTAAAAACAAGAAGAAATGCGAAATAACGATCCGATAAAGGTTGTCTTTCTGTTTATCATAATTTCGGCAATCGTTGCGTAATAAAAAAAATCCTTCTGCCTATCAAGGGGACAAAACGGTAATAATAAGTCACATCGGAAGTGCCGGAGATTCACACAGGTGAAATATATTTTTTCAATTTCTACGAAGTCTACCATCTTCTCTTCTTTCGACAAATTGATCTAAAGTGAACGCGGTCTATATTACATTGGGAGTATTTAAGCATATATATCGTAAACTTTAGACATATGGTAGATAAAGATGTGCAGCATGGTTATAGTTAAATCCGGTGAAATGCTCGTTGACTATGTCAGTATATCGAAAATACCATGCTTCTACTGAGTGAAGTGGTAAACATAATAGTGGACTTGATTAGAAAATAGCAGGGTTTCTTGCATGATGCTTCCATATATGCTAATAGACTGATTATAAATTCCCTTCTATTACTTAGTTTGCCTGTTGGTTCCTTTATAGTATATATTGTTCTCATTTACAAACGTGACATTACTTACATGGATTGGCCACGATTTACATGGCGGATGAAGCAGAAGACGCTATCGCTGCCGGAACATCAGGTCTAATTCTCATCGTTTCTGATTCTCCAGGTGAATCATGTATTGACGTAGTTTAATGGACTATGAGTTTGGTCGAAAGTATGTTGAAATGTTGTTACTTTCTTGTTCTGTTCTGTTTGTGTTAGGATGTCCCACCGGAAAGTTTGGGTTTATGTGTAGTGACACCTGTCACTGTCAGTCTAGTGGATGTAACCCTGACACCGGGGAGTGCGACGTAGACGGATGTCAGACTGGTTGGATGGGACTATCATGCAGTCTCCGATGTCACTGTAACTCGGGAGGAGCCTGTAACATAGATACAGGGGCCTGTAGTGGAGGATGTCAGTCCGGATGGTCGGGACGCAGCTGTGCCGTTTGGCAATGTAAGTTGAGGAGTTTCCCTTTTCATAAAATAAACTCCTTGCAGCGTCTCTCTTTGTGTATGGTGCCGTAGACCAACAAACGACATACCAAATTGATTGATAAGTTGTGAGCCTCATATTAAAGGGTTAGACTTTTGGCGGACATATTGCATTATTTTTTTCCAACATAATCCGCTTCCGTATCTATACACTTTCCCCAGCGATGTTTAAGGGCCTAAATGCCATACCAAAAAAGTCCTTTTCTGATGGAGCGAGATCAGGCGAATAAGGCGGATGCTAAATCAATTCAAAGACACAATCGTTAATGGCAGCCATGACAATGGCAGACTCTTAAACAAGGACATTGTTCTGGTGGAACAACACATCTTTACTGACTTTTCCGGGGCGCTTGCTTATAATATTTCCTCTTGATTGCCTAAGAAGTGATGCATGATGTATGTCATTTGATTGTTTGTCCCTTTTGCATATAATCTACCATGAGAATAACACCAGCATCCCAGCAAAATGAGGCCAAAACCTTTTCAGTAAATTGAACAATGTTTGCCTTCTTTGGCGGATGGTGCTTCCAATGTTTCGACTGTTGTTTGGCCTGTGGGGAGAAATGATGGACCCACGTTTCATCTAAAGTCACAAACCTCTGCAGAATCTGTCTCTCACAGGTTCAGATTAGGACGCGACAAAGTCAGCCGGATATGCTTCTGATCAACTGTCAGTAGTCTTGGTACCCAACGGGCTGAGTTTTCTTATTGAAAGATCTTCCGTAAGAATAGAATGTACTCTCAAGGACGGGCGTCATCCTCAAAGTTCTGCTTGCCACGCTTAAATTCCGCTACCCACTTTTTCACTGAAGGGACAACATTCAAGCAAATTAGTATGGATATCCTTAGATGCTAGACCTTTCTTACGCAAATATTGAATAACTGTTCTTTCAACGATTGTTCAATGGTATGAGACGCCGGGGACAGGAATTGTGCCAGATACCCAATGGATCTTGTTGATAAATTGATCAGCGTACACAATTAAAAACAACATAATCTAAGATGTGTAGTCTCATCATTTGCTTAGACCAACAATCTACCTTCTGGTATCACGGCTTCTGGTATAATCAATGGCATCTACAAATAAAAATATAATCATAGAACGTAAGAGTTTAAACAATATATAAATAATAAATGAAGCTGGGTAAGAGTATGTTTTGAGTTGTGCGAGGTTAAAGTACTTGTAGTTCGCAATATGTTTGATATCTAAAACATTTGTATAAAATACAAAATCATTCACCATGATTTCACCATAGTTAAGACAGGCTTTAGAAATACCAAAACATATGCACATCAAATCGAGTTAATGAGAAAATAATTTATACGAGTCTGATAAAGACATGTACCCAAACAGTTACTTGTTTTTAAGTTAATGAAATGATACGGGAAGAATAGTAAATGGTACATGTACTTGCAATACAAAGAAATGTGTATAACATATCGTAAGTTGAAAGTTAGGTAACATTTCTTTACATTTCAGATAGCAATATGTGAGTACACGTAGACAGAAAAACAAAATTGTAAAAACTGAAACAATGTACTAACGAGTATAATGTACATATAACTGATGAACCAAAAACGACCTCACAATATCAAAATTAAGGTGCAAAATAATGTATCTTCCCTTAGTCTTTATATATTTTTTTACAAAACATTTTCATTGGACCTTCATGATATTGTATCAAGTTTTACTTTTTATTGAATTGTCATTTCTTCAATAGAAATAACATATTGACAATTGTTATTCTGAAACTTTTGTTTGCATTGCTTGCAGATGATCTGGCACATCATAAATCCACCCGACAGAGTACTATTTACCACAACTATACGTCTGACAAAGCTATTGACGGTGTTATTACGGCGGATGTATTCCCTAACGGAAGTTGTTCGCATACTGATCCAAGAGGAAGACCCGAGGCGTGGTGGGAAGTTGATCTTGGAGAAGTGAAAAGGATCCAGACAATCAACATAATATACAGACAATTTTGTATTCATCCTTTATAACCATATTTCTTTGCATCATAATTTCAAAGTCCCCTTTCCTTTTATATATTCATTTAATTTAATAAATATTCTAGGAGAAGAATGGTCTGATCTGTACCCTAGGTCTCTGTATGATGAACCGATACTTGCCAACACATTTTCTGAGACAAGAAAGTAATCTATACGTGCCTGTTTGACTGGGATCTTCCTCTTCAAAATATACCTTCTTCCATGTTGTTCTCTAAATATACGAACTAATTCATAATGATCCCTTTAGCTCTGGTCCTGGATTATTAACATTTTTATAACAATTGTCACAATCGATTTCAGGTTTTCAAGCAAGGTTAAAATCCCCACATTAAATAACTTGGTCATTGCTGTATTCATCTACTATATCTTAAATATTATCATAAAAATCTTAATTGTCTTGATCGGGACCATAAAAACAAATTAGAGTAATACGTTTACTTACAATTTTAATGTCTAGGACTTAAAATTTACCAGTAGAATCTTTCTTCTCCTTTTGAATCTTAAATTAAAAATTATTATAAAAATAGATATGCCGCGAGAATTTCCTCGATATGATGAAAAAAGCAGTCAAATCCCTTTCGTTTCTCATAAGTTTTTCGGTTTCTGGAGTGAAATGCTCATCTTTAAGACAATATATATTATATTTAACATCTCTAAGATAGGAAACTACGTATTTACGTTTATCTCAATTGGAAAGAACCTGGACCCCCCCCCCCCCCCCACACACACACTTTCAAGTCAAGCTAACAGTATCACAGTCTAGTCTGGAACGTAGAGATATCAAATAAGGGAGTAAGGACAGAAAAGAAATGAGTTAAATAACAAGAGACTGTAAAATCATATAAGGTGATGTTTTGTACTACCATCCGCCTGTTCTTCAAAATAATTATCATCTGTACTGTACCTTCAGAACCTTATCGGTAGTGAAGCCGGAAACCGGAAGTAGTATACTAATAAAAACAAAAATATTCTGGTTCCCTACGGACTAAGTGCACTTTAGTGCTAAGTGCTACCTGCCCAAGGTGTTCCGACGTTGGAGAAATTCCGCGTCGAGTTAGCTTAAATATGATCATTGTTACAGAAGGAATAAAACCGAGAGAAAAAGAAAAAGACAGAAATACATCCAATGAAAATAAAAGTAGTATTCCTATGTTCAGGAAATAAGAATTCAGTTATGACTTAAGGATCTGAATGAAATCAACTATATCTGAATAAGTGGACTAAAATTGATTAGCAGCATATAACACATATATGTTAAATACTATACTAAAAGGATAAAGAAACACAGGGTGAACTTTAAACCAGAAATTAAGTATGATATCGTTCTTCATTTAAAACGAAATTTTGTATACTTACAGATAAATTAAAGCTTAAAAATTTCCAAAGTCTGTATTTTGCATCTGACAATTGGTTTAGAGGTACTAACGATTAAAGTGAATGGACCCATAGGATTTTGAAATTGAACTGAGTCATCAATATCTTGTGTGTACGCCGTTTGCTGTGGTCACGGCCCTTATTCTTCTGGTCATAGAGTTCATGAGAGCGTTAATCCGTCTTATGGGGATGTTGTCCCTCTCTTCAATCAGAGCTCTGGTCAACTGCTCTCGAGTAGCAGGGGGTGGCTGCCGCTTTCGAACCTGTCTATCCAACTGGTCCCAAAGATGCTCGATCGGGGACAAATCAGGGCTAGTGGTTGAATGTTGTTGTTGGCCAGAAAGACTTGGCAAATCCTTGCTACGTGGGGCCTAGCATTATCCTACTAGAGGGTTAGATTATGCTGCTGTAAGAAAGGGATAACATCGGGTCGGAGGATCTCATCTCTATACTTAGCTGCTGTTAAATTGCCATCAATTACAACCAATTGTGATTTTAACCCGTGTGAGATTCTCCCCACACCATTACTGAACCGCCCCCAAACCTATCCCTCTCTACAACGCAAGCGTCCGTAAAACGTTCGTCACGACGTCGGTAGACACGTTGACGGCCGTCAGATCGATAAAGATTGAATCGAGACTCGTCCAGAAGAAAACTTGTCTCCACTGCCTCAGTGGAAACCGTCGTGGAGCATGTGCAGCGACCCAGGCCATACGACGCTGACGTCGAGCAGGGGTAAGGTGTGGACCTACGTAGGGGCGACGTGCTCTTACACCAACTTCTCGTAATCGATTCCTTACAGTTTTTGAACTTATAGGACGCCTATGATTTCCACGAACATTAAGTACACTCTCAACGGCAGTAAGGCGCCGATTACGCTCATGAGAGACGACGATATAGCGATCCTGACGTCGTGACGTTACGCGCGGACGTCCTGACCTAGGTCGATCGGCCAATCGCCCAGTTTCCCGAAGACGTCTTACAAGACGTTCTATGGTGGAAACATTAACACCAAAGTGCCTAGCAACCTGATTTTGCAGCTGTCCTTGCATCAGCATCTGAATGGCCTGACCCCTCTAAACTTCTGTGAGTCGTGCCACTCTTAAAATGAATAAAATTCTCAATTAATTTTAGGGAAGCAGTTGGTCTGTCTAAAGACTAACGAAGAGTGACTTGACCAACGCTGCATGAGACCAGAACAACACGGTGCACGAGATTCTTGTTTTTTCCTACCTCCAGTTACCAGAGCTGCGCACTGTACCGTGACTAAATTTTCGGTACATGACAAGGTGTAATATGACCTAATTATTCAATCCACAAAGTTTCACTTTATTTGGAGAACGCGTTTTCAAAATATCGGAATAAATATTACCCTGCGTTTCTTTATCCTTTCAGTATATAAGAAGAGTTATAAATTATGGACTTACCGCAAGTATAGATAACTTTCTCGATTAAATCCATAAAAGGTGGAAACACAATATTAACACTTATTGACTATTTCACACACAACATATAAAAATTATCAACATCTTGCTGCTAAAATCAGAGACATATTAATAAAATGGTCGGCGACACATAGGAATGTGTCTTTTGCTGTCTCTGCCGACCTCTCTGGTGAAAATATCTATCATTTTGTGAAAAAAAGAATCCTAATAGTTACTTCGGAAGTTTCCATCGTTCATCATGTCGTTTGTGTCCAGTAGAGTATTTATGAACAGTCGTTGTTTCTTTCAATTCTCCAGAACTCAAAAAAAAAAAAAAAAAAAAAATTCCATCCACACTATAAGTGTTTTTACACAGTCCAGACTGAAAGCATCTCTCTAATTTTCCCTGCTGATAGTGAATTTAACAATCATATTCCTTTGTTTTGCTCTGTCAAAGTTCCCTAGTCTGTGAGCTATGTCAATGTCATTCTTTGTCAAATCCATTCTTTGTACGTGACGAAGTACACCACTTTTCCTTCATACTCTTCCACAGACTCATTTTACGAGAGATCATCTAGACCAGTTATCCGAATGGAATCTTCTCTTACACGCTGTTCACGGTCATTCTGTTTTCCTGTATCTCATTATCTTTGTTTCTGTTTCCTCAGATTCTAGCTCGTAAATTCTCCCTTCTATACGATCTGTCATTTCCAATATTTCAGCACATATGACACGGTTTTGTTGCAGAGTCTTCCCATCAAGATATTCACGAATCAGCATCGAAGAAATCAATTCATCTAATCTGTCTTCAACTGTCTTCTTTTCTTTTTCAACATTTTCAACATCAAGACTTGTATGCCTTTCCGTACTCATCGAGTAACTTCCAGCCGGCATGGTTAAGATGACAATGCTTATATATAATGTATATCGTACACACACTTACAGGTATAAATCCAGGTATACAATAAAAGTGTACACTAGTCACGGGTATTTCCCCAGTCCATAGTTTGGAATCAAACTTCTTCAAATAACATTTTGTAGAATAAAACTTACAGAAACTGTGCAAAATTCTGTTTGTACGACAACATCATAGTTAGCAAAATGTGAGTCTTACATGGGCTGATGTTTGCGCAGAAAAAAAACTCATCCTATCTTCTTGAAATACACGTTTGTTGTATTCAAATTGTGGTTTATTCTGTTTCAGATACCTTCCGAATGTCCGGGTTTTATCTCTATATATCAAACAGTTCCTATAATAACTCCCAAGCGCTGAGTCGAGACTATTTATGTTACCATGACCACGGACCCGGTCTGCCCTCCTACATCCAGTCACTATGGTGTTCTGTCTCAGGTCGATACGTCATATTCTATAACAAACGTCCTGCTGACTACGAGCCATTGAATGTAAAGTATTATTCGGAAAGGAATGCAACTATTGAGCTGTGTGAGGTCCAGGTCATTGGAGGTGATTATGTTAATCATACTAAAACATTTCACGCATAGTATGACCTTAACACGAGTGTCAGATATTAGCATATTTCATTTTCCTTACCATTAAAAAAACCCTCTAGTTAATATCCTCTCAAAAACTGATAATCCTCCTATATTTCAATTACTCACGACGACATCGAAGTGGCGTCATATATGTAATTCTATTTTTAATTCACATCTAATTTTTTCGTCACAGTTTGCGATCCGGGTAAATTTGGAAAAGACTGTAGCCAGACATGTCACTGTGTCACATCTGACTGTAACAAATTGACGGGGTCTTGTCTTATCCTGGGCTGTTCCGCTGGCTGGGCGGGTAAAGCTTGTGACCAAGGTATTTTTTTTTCATTTTTGTCGTCTGTTTAGGTATAGACAATTTATGCAAATTGTGGATAGTGCCGTCGATAAGCAGAACAGAACAAAACAAAACCAGAAAATTGTTATTAAAATGGCAATATCGTTCTATTCAAGATCTTTCCGATTTCAAATTTTCCGATTGTGTGTTATCCATTTCTAGATTGAACACACAAATGAATAGTATCTTTTAATAGTTTAGAGGTGGATACCCTTCTGTCAAACAATGAATTGAACTGCATCATTCAGCTGTTTTGTCCTTCTAGGACTTGTCAGTGATAATGCGAAGGAACTAATTTCTCAATTGAGAAAAACCCAAAGTGATAGGAAGAAAAGTCAAAATCTAGACGGGCAGCAGTCCTATAATTAGATGAATTATAATCCCCCCATTCTTCCCTAAACTACAGCGTTTAAATTCCAAATCTTATTCGATATTCTAGGAATTGATCCCAACAACATGCTTTCTTTTGTCTAGTTAGCTGGTACCGATTTAAAGAAAAATAATTGGGTCAAAATAACAAAAAGTTTCATAATCATTGAAAACTCACTAATGACGAATAAATCGAGAAATTCATTGTTCTAGTTGATGGTTCTATACCATTTATTTTCAGTCTGTTCTCATGGACACTTTGGTCCAGACTGTCGGCGCATGTGTCATTGTAACATTGGGGAATGTAACAGAATTGATGGTACATGCAACATATCGGGTTGTGTTAGTGGTTGGAGCGGAGTGGCTTGTGATACAGGTAGGTGACAAGTGCATGCTTTTTTACAGACATGTTTTTGGTTATTTATCGATTTACATGGTTGCAGATAATGCTGGATCATTTCTATCTTACGTTAAGATACAGTGACAACATACATGTCCACTCCTTTTTATTAAGTTTTAATTGTCAACCCGGTCCTTTTCAATATCGTGATATGTGTTTCAAAATACAACTTTAAATTTCACAAAACTATGCGATTGTTAACGTATATTTTGTTATTGTTATAAGAATGATCCCTTTTACAGATTGTGATTTAGATAGGTTTGGAGAGAATTGTATACACAAATGTCACTGTAAGGAAGAAGGATGCGATAACGCTAATGGCAAGTGTAAAGTCACAGGATGCATGGATGGATGGAAGGGGACATCTTGTGATCAATGTACGTATTTTGTCATTAAAAACACCACAAATTCGTCATGATTCTATTGACGCAAAGTGTGTCTTGTATGCTGTGCTAGATCGTTTTTGTAATAGTCAAAGTACAGAAAAATCGAGGAAATTCTTTTTCTATGTCTTTAGCGATTTACAACAGTAGTTATTTTACTTTTTTAAAACATGGAAACTTCCAATACTAATCATGGGAAATATTTCACAACCTAACTTATTCATTGACTATTTCGCTGATACCATTGTGTAGTTATTAGTATTAAATGAATGTAGGAGTCTTAACTTCCACGCTGTGCAGGCTTTTCATGGATTAAACATGACAGAATACCGCCTGGTTCGTACAATTTCATGGGTCGTATTGCACGTGATGCTGATTAATAAACGTGGAAGTAATTATTGATTAAAGTACAGTATTCTGATTTAAGGTGGATATAACAAGTAAATAAATATATTGATAACATACACATTTTTCGACCCGAGTTTCACTAGGAACCTCTTAAGAAGAAAAAGGGGCGAAGTTTAAGATGGATTGTGACCACAATTATTTTTACTATATGTTTTTGTTGTAAATGTAAAATTCATCATAAAGTCCGATAGCTTCATATGCAAATGTCCGTCTCACCTGGCCAAGATCAACATCTGAGACGCAAAATGTAAACATTTCAGCTCATCATGTTCAGCATTTTCTGGAGACACACCTCAAGGTGTGTCGCCAACGTCAATTATATACATCCGGATCAAGGGTACAGGTGAAAACAGGGCTTCTCACTCAGGATCCAGCAGCACAAAATACATGTTCAATATAAATAATTTACACACTGATAGTAAAATTATCGTCTCTATAACAGATCTACATCAAATTTATAGGCAAACATCCAATTCAAAGAGGCATGTTAATGTTTTCCTATATACTGACAATTTTAGGGACTTCATTCATGGGGCATGGACCCGTAAGAATTTATTTGTGATCCCAGTCCAGATGCTCATATGAATGAGGAACGGAAACATAATTGAAAGCTGTCAAGATTAGTATTAGGTAATCAGATTCAAAACGGAAAATGACTGATTATACCATGTATTTGTAATGGAAATGTGATGATAATGTACAATGATATTTCTGGAGGTTCAGTACAATACTCGGAGTTTTATATTTCAAAATCACATCCACATCCTAGGATGTAACAAGAACGTTTATTTTATCATAGACATAGACAGGGAAATCTTCCAGATGTAGATTTCGTGTCAATACAATATGTAATTTAATTCGTCTAATACTTGCTATTCCATTTGTCTGACGACACATGACACGAAACGTTACAGAAATAGAGCGTTCTATTTCACATTAATATTGTCGTATAATATTCTCATTCTATACTGTGTCATTATGAATAAGACCTGACATTGTCATTTTTGATGTATAGTATTAAGAAAACATTGTTTAGTGTGTGATTCTTGGAATCTTGTCCAGTTAAACATTACGTTATTTTTAGTAATTTATTCTGCTCCTTTTCTTCGCATGTCAATTGCCATTTTTGTCTATTGTGACCCTCAAAGTATTGGTATAATATTTAGTAGTAGGTTTGGAAAAGAATGAAAGTTTCATGGTGGCCACCACAATCTTATAGCGGGCGTAGTTGAT